TGCGAGAATAGATTGGAAAAAGATGAAACAATACCACATAACTGGATTTTCAAATCCTTTTAGCTGCAAATTTAAAAATTAATGAATCAAGTTCTAGAAGGTTTCAAAGTGAATAATACTATATGGTAACTCGAATTCTTGAACCAGCAATGATATTCAATATCCAATGTTGTGTAACAAAAACACAAGCTTATATCTATGCTACCGTAGACATAGGAACGTATACATGCACCTATGTTCACACATAATTTAGTGGAAGTATACCCTCACGAAAGAGATCTTTAATCACCCGATCAAGAACTGACGGAGGAGGTATGACCACAGAGGTCTTTAAATTTTCAGAGCTTGGATTTTCCACTGCGAGAGATAAAAAAAAAAAAAAAAATTATACAGTGGATATGTCAGGAAAAGCTAATGCTGTAAATTATTATATGCTATAACTCAATCCCTTGCTAGTGGACGTTAACTACATGTGTTTGAAACATAAGGAAAAAATAAAAGCACAAATTGCGGCAGACCTGACACGAAATCCTCCATAAACTGAGCTGCGAAGGATGTATCCAATGCTTCAACCAAGCAAAGTAGTTGGGAAGCAAAATCAATTCTTTTCCCATGTGAAGGATCACCCCTGGTAAAGCAATATTTGTTATAAAACTGAAAGGGAAAAATAATACACCACAAGACATGCAAACTACTATTCTGTCTTAGACTGAGAAACTATGAGAAGCATTCTTACAGATACGGTGAGAGGATTGGGTGTAAAATCCACTTTTCAGCATCATGGGGTGAAGCATTTTCAAGTTCAGCCATCTCAAGTGTGCTTTCTACAGTCCTGTCAGCCCATGTGACCACCAATTCGAATCCTGTCCATATCAACCACAAAGTTAGAAAATGAATTCCTTAAATCGCATATACCAACAGCAAAGACCAGCCTATGCTTGAAGAACGATACAGAATTGTCATCACACATCAATTATCATCTGTGCGTGTGTTGGAGTACAGGTGTAAAGAGTAGCTAGTATTAGATAACTGAGTTATATAATCACGGAAAATTACACATGGCCTTAACTAATCTGTAAGACTGAGAGGTAAAAAAACAAATTCAAAAAGTACCGTACTGACTTGACTGTAGACCAAAAAGATTAAATTTTATTCATATGATGCACAGATGTACCTCTAAGTGGATCTTCAGCAGAGTACCACTCACTCCAAGGACAGTCATCATCCCAGAGCACCTTGTTGCGTGACTCAGAACCATAGTTTTCTGCAGCGTCTGTTTTGTCATCCATAAGCTCATCCATATCAATTTCCTCATCCTCCTCGTCATATGGGAAGGTTTGGTATGTTAGCCTCATCATAAAATGGACTTTGAAATTATGCATCGAGAAGTCCACTCCTGAATAAACCTTCAAACAATAAATCGTCATCGATAAATACAATATCTAGCAAAAAAATCTAATCACATGACAGAATAAGCCTCGTTGAGCTGGATCTCAAGCAACATTAAAAATTGTCATTCTCTTCTAATATCAAGCTTGAAGCATGTTGTATAAAGTACATACTGCAATATAGTATTTGAAAAAAGATATAAGAACATTAAGAGCAACTAGATTGGAAACAAGCTTTTCACCAGAGATGGCTAATGCTTGGTAAGTTTTCAGGTCCGTTTTGATTAGCAATTACCATACTAAAGGACATCAATAATTAGGAGCCACAGAGACTTACAAATTTAGAAACAAACAATTCATATAGCCCTTCCAGGTGCATGAGTTTCACGGGGACTTGGCTGCCAATACGATCTGCTTCAAATCTTCTCGTAAAAACAGTGCCCATATTCTGGATTCCAATATATGCTTTGCGTGAAGGGTCATGCACAGGGACAAAGGCTGGCCACAAGCTAGGTACCAAAGTAGTATAAACATTATTAAAACAAACTCAACCAAATATGCGCCTAATCATTATCTCTTTAGCAAAGACAAGGATAACACATTTCTATCAAATTTGATTACCAAGACTTCGGAGTAATTGGTGGGTGATTTGGATCAACTCAAAGAAACAGTGGATTGTAAGAATTTCACTTGACGATGCTAAACCTAAAGTGACGTTAATGGCTAAGACATCGTACCTGCCACAGTTAGACAAAGCAATAGCAACCGCACTCAAAAGCTTGCTAGACTCTGGTGTATCAAGAAGCACCCCACTGGCACTTTGTGGAGCAATCAACTAGAAGACGCAAGAATAATCAATAAAATATCAGATATGTAAACGGGCATGAATTATTTTCAAGAAGAAAATGTGGATTTAGAGTGTACCAGAAAATCCTTCACCCCAAAGCAAAGCTGGAGATCATGTGAATTACTGTTCCAATTACCAATTCCAGCTGCATCAGTCAGATACTGAATCATGAAACAGAAAATGCAGTTTCACCAAGAAAAACCGCATTAATGTGAAATCACATACCTTGTTGGCTACCATTATTTTCAATTTGAAAGTAGAACTCCATGCAATAGCTCTTTGCAACATTTTTAAGTTCGTTTTTGACCGTAAACAGATTCTTTGAATCCTCCACTGCAACAGCACCCTTTTCCTGCACTCACCCAATGCAGGCAACGCCTAAGAAGTCAAGCAGATAACGAAACTAAAGTGGATTTCACAAAATACGTCTAACTCCATCTTTGATCATCAATAATATTCAAAATAGTAAAGTCGAAGAGTACGCATTCATGGGATTCTAACGAGTTCACCTATAGATTTCGAAGATGGATGAGATCATTTGGAAAAGTAAACGTACCACCAGGTTTTTGGGACCATCGGCTAACCATTGACGACAAGTTGCTTCAATGTCTGAGATAAACCTAAAGCGACGGGATCAGTGGTGACATTTAGAACGGAAAAGAACAACGCAGTAATTGAATCCAAGCAATTCAAATCGTGAAGATAAATGAATACCTTTCCCAGGAAGAAGCTAGAGTGAAATCATCGAAATGTTGAACCTGCAAAAAAATTGCTGATCCATGAATACAAAAACGAATAGAAGAAGAAGAGCACAAAGTTTTAGGAGGTAGTAACTGACATACCTCTTCTTCAGCATCATCAGCTTCTTCGAGGGGATTCGATTTGCTTATAGAAGCCATATAAATTAGGTAGCGTATATCTCTCGGTCTCTCTCTCTCTGTTCTTCTGGGTAAAGGAACTCTTGCAGATCCTCCGATCACACAGACGAAGAGATCCGCTTCGGGTAAAGAACAACGACGATGATGGTAAAGTTACAGATGAAACGTCGTCGTTCGAATCTGACTTGAGACTTTGACAAACGGCAAGAACAACGCGTGCCGTTTGGTTTGATAGAAAACGGGTTGCATTCTATTTGCGAAGTTTTTCTCTGTCCGACGACAAAAAGGCCAATAATAATCTAAATGGGCCACATATTGGCCCATTACTACTTTATTCTCAATAGTCAAATTTAAGTAGTCACATACTCACATGATTAATAAAAATTCAAGAGTAGTACTAATCTAATCTTTTTGTTGTTATCTAACTTCTTAATAATCGGAATTACTTTAACCTTTTGGAATATATCTTTCTTCCTAGACGAGACAGCAGTTTTTGCAGCAGTTTTTGAAGTACCCAAATCGGGTCAAATTTGTTTAATTTTGACCCGGAAATCTTCAATCGGATCTTTCTTTAAATTTTGGCAAAATTAAAAAACGAAAATAATTAATAAAATCTAAAATATATATACTTTCTCAACTAATTACTATATTTAAACGCTTTATTTATGGTATATTCTCCACGATTTTTATAGATAAAGAAATCAAATATGATGATTTAATGCTAATATAACAAATTTGCACTAATTTCCTAAAACCTCTCTACCTAATTTAAACATAAATATATGATTCTTATTTCACTTTTATTTGATCTTATATTTATATTATTTTAAATTATTATAAAATATATAAATAGTTAGTAAATTTTAGTTTTTTTTTTTCTCCATATGTTACAATTCAAATTTTTTAAAACGGACATATATTACTCAATCGATGAATAAAAATATGTGTGTAATCTATATTAACATTTTTAAGAACAAATTGAGCATTTAATCATGTCGTTGTTTTATTCAGACCCAAAATTAAGTCATTCGGATCTTTCTTTAATTTTTACAATTATCTAAAATGGGACAGTATATCACGGGTGAAATCCTAATTAGTATTTTAAGATACAATTATAAATTGTTTTTACGGGTTGGTCCAAAAACACACTAATTTAAAAATATACATGGAAACTATTTAAAAGCAACTTTCAAATTAATTCGAATTATATGACATTTAAATAAAAGTGTTATTAAAAAAATAACAAAATGATGTTTAATTTCATTTTAGATTATATGGTTGGACGGGTTTGGGTCAATATTAATACGAGACAATATACCACATGTGAAATCCTATAAATAACAAATCAAAATACAATTATACAATCTTAAACACTAAACAAAACAAATACAACTTAAAATTTTTTATTTTAGATACAACGCATGTGACCCGCGGTATACAACAAAAAATATTATACACAATAAATTCATCAATTTATAAAAATAAAAAAATCAAATAATTAACCCGCGGTGTACCGCGGGTCATATCCTAGTATGATTCATAATCTCTATTTTTTTATGATGCCTTTCATGATTTAGTTTGTGAAGAAAAATGTATTAAAATCATGAACTAATAACATAATAATTTAAATCATTAATTAACAATCAAAGATACTTTTGTTTTAATTGAATAACACAAAATTTTCAATGACTTTATTAAAATATGTATCCAATAACTCCAGATTTATGAAGATTTTAAATTAGTTTTTACAAATCCAAAACTAATAACACCAAACTTTAAGAGTCTTAAAAAATCTTAATTGAATAATAAAAGATTTTTCATAACATTTTAAGTCATTAAAAGTCATAAACAATCACAAACCAATAACACCCCTTTAGTTTTTTTTTTTTAATACAAAATCCTAAGTTCTTGAATTATACCTTTTGAAAAATATACACATTATACCCTAATCTGTTTTTCTTTTGGTAACCAAAACCCTAATTCTCTAACACGATATATATCATCCTTTACTTCGCCTTTTTGATAACTTCCTATATCTCCTCCACCTTCATTCTTCACGCTGTTCTCTTCATTTTTCCCCCACCTCTATTCCACATATGACATATCGATTATTCTTTTGAGTTTAAGTTTTCATAGACCACCGGCTCCATGTTTAGTGTTAATAAAAGAACACAAGCCTTCTCTGTCTTTATTTTCTTTTTGTCCATTGCTAAATCTATCAGATATTTGACAAAGCAGAGATCATCAAAACAAGAAGAAAGAAGATTGGAAGATTTTCAACTTCTTTTGTCAAAATTAAAAGATTTTCAACTACCCCTTGACCTAATTGTGGAGATACTCAAAAAACTCCCGACAAAATCTTTGATGAGGTTCCGATGTGTCTCAAAGCAATGGTCATCCATTATAAGCAACCGTAGAGACTTCGTTGACTCGATCATGTCTCGGTCTTTGAGACAGCCGCCTCATAAGCTTCCGGTCTTCATCTTCCACCGGTGTGCGCCTGAAACTTCCTTCACCGTGTCGTCTACATTCTCTCTAAGCACAAAACCCAAAGTATCAATAATGCCTGGACCAAACAACTATTATTCGTTCAGGTATCAATACATCCAAGGCTTTATCTGTTGTTCTTCACCAGTATATGATGTGGTTACGGTATACAACCCTACCACGAGGCAATGCATTCCTTTACCCAAGATCGAATCAATGGCACCGTCACCAAAGAGACACAAAAACTGTTACTTTGGATACGACCATGTCATGAATGAATACAAAGTGTTGGCCATGGTTATTGACTCACAAGAGTTAACGCAAACTTTTCACATTTTCACATTGGTTAAAGATTGTCAACAATGGAGGACAATCCGAGGCAATATTGATGAGGAACTCATTCCAAACGGCCAAGCGGGGGTATGCATTGACGGAACTATTTATTACGTAGCAGTTGGAAGAAAAGAAATGTTCAACTATGGTGAAACTATAATGCTGAGTTTTGACGTGAGGTCGGAAATATTTTATCATGTCCGCACTCCTGAAGCATTGTGGAGTCCCAAGTGGAATGATCGAGCTCTTTTCAACCACCAAGGGAAGCTAGGATGCATAAGTAATAACGAAAACAATACAAGTGTGTGGATTATGGAGAATGCTGAGAAACAAGAATGGTCCAACATTACTTTTGACTTGCTTGAATACCCTGGAGGTGATTTCAGAACTTTCTCAGGTATCACTCCTGCTGGTGAGATATTTATTGTTCAAAGTATGTGTTATACTTGTATTATGCCATTGTATGTTCATTATTATAACGTGAAGCAAAAAAGCTACAGAAGAGTTGAAATAGAAGGTGCTAGGCTAAAGACAAGAAAACAACCTAGAGATATTATTCGCGTATTTGCCATTCATGATTTTGTCGAGAATACAATGTGGTTGTAATATTATTTTAAACCTTTTAATATGAATAGTTCCTTTAATATTTTTTTTCATAGTTAAACAGTAAGGTTAATATCAATCGATCCTTCATTTGTTTTTCATAGTTAAACTGGAAGGTTAGTTAATATAACTGCTCACAGAAATTTTTTTATTATAATTATTTTAAAGGGCTTACAAGAAAATAAAAAAAATTAATTACTATATGTAGTTATAAGATATATTGTGTCTCTTTTGATAATGTTAATTTCAGTATTTCCTAGTAAATATTGATGAAAATGGTGAGATCTTGAATTCTATATTTGTATAGTTTATGAAATAATGATCCAAGAACTATAAAGAAGTTTCAATATCACCATCTCTATATTAATCGTCTTCTTGGAAGTTCTTTTACTCTGTCCTTGTGACGTAATCGTTTTGAGATTACTTCTGGTTTTGGGATTCTTATCTCTAAGAGAAACTTAACTTTTTTTATATACACAAAACCCTAAAGTCCTTAACACCATCTCTATATTAATCGTCTTCTTGGCCGTCTCGATATTTCACAACTCTTGTGAGTTTCAGTTATGTTTCTTAGATTACAGTCACGTTTTAGTGTTTACAAAAGAAGGAGAAAAACAGAGGTCATGAGAAAAGGAAATGAAGAAAAGAATTACCGTGAAGAAGAATATTTGCAACTTCCTCTGGATCTCATTGTGGAGATACTAAAGAAACTCCCGGGAAAGTCACTTGTGATCGGTTCCGATGCGTCTCAAAGCAATTGTCAACGATTATCTGCAGCTGAAGAGGAAGAGACCATCGAGTCGGTCGTTACTCGATCTTTAGCTCAGCCGGGGCAGCAGCTTCCCCTGTTGGTCTTCCACCATTGTGTGCCTGAAACTCTCTCTCTGTTCTTCTGGGTAAAGGAACTCTTGCAGATCCTCCGATCACACAGACGAAGAGATCCGCTTCGGGTAAAGAACAACGACGATGATGGTAAAGTTACAGATGAAACGTCGTCGTTCGAATCTGACTTGAGACTTTGACAAACGGCAAGAACAACGCGTGCCGTTTGGTTTGATAGAAAACGGGTTGCATTCTATTTGCGAAGTTTTTCTCTGTCCGACGACAAAAAGGCCAATAATAATCTAAATGGGCCACATATTGGCCCATTACTACTTTATTCTCAATAGTCAAATTTAAGTAGTCACATACTCACATGATTAATAAAAATTCAAGAGTAGTACTAATCTAATCTTTTTGTTGTTATCTAACTTCTTAATAATCGGAATTACTTTAACCTTTTGGAATATATCTGTATTTGTGATCATTTAAAACACAATTATGTATACAGGGACCACAATCCACGATAATTATCAGAAAGAAATTAAATGAAATTGGTCCAACACATAATAACAAATTAATGATAATTTGCAAAAACAATTAATAAAAATAAAATACAGGAGCGTAGTGGATCGAGAGGAGAGTGTGAAAATCGTACTTGCTTTACATAAATGAAGTCGTCCTCACTAAAGCTAAACAAACATGAAGAAATCTAAAAATCCCTGAAATCTCAAAGCACACTTCCATTTTCATCTCTCTCAAGAGCTCATAGTTCATTGTCGACGAAGACGACGACAACCTACAATGGCTGCAGCCTTGGAATGCTGGTCGAGTCGTGCCGGAGGTGGTGGCGGTCCCGACGACGATCTGGTGGATCAGGTACTCATGCGAACGCACGACAGGTCTGAGTCCTTAATTACGTCTCTGCCTGAGACGAGTTTGGAGGTTGAAGGTTCCACGGCGGGTTTTGATCAGAGCTCATCGGCTATGCAGAAGCGGTTTCAGCGTCTCAGCCGAAACGTGTCTGAGGCGATTGCGTCGCTTAAAAACTCGCTTAATCTCGATTCCGCGCGGGATAATCAGACTGTCGGCGGAGCTACGACGCCTAAGGCGGAAGTCGGTGGCGGCGGCGGCGGAAGGAAGCTCGTTTGGGCTACTGTAGTGAGGAACCTTGCTAGAATGTATCCTGGTAGCCAGTTGCCGGAGAAGCTCGTATCAAATCTCAAGAAGCATTACGATTCCTTGCCCTTCAGGTATACCTGATTTACCTGAATTTCTACTTATGGACAGTTAAAGATAGTGTAAGCGTGTGTGAGTTTGAATCTGGATATATTTGGTGAATCATGGAGCAATCTAGGTAACTTGGTTTTGTGCTTGGTGTTTGTTGTTTCAATAGTTATAGTCAGGCTGATTTGGATATGAAAGAAGTATTTCTACACGTCAAGTTGATAGAACAAGCTTCTGGAGATGACAATCCTGTGTTTATGATTCAAGAAGTATCTGCTGAGGAACCTCGGGGTTCAGTCCTCAGACTCACATTCGCCTGTAACTCTTCTCTTTCATGGTCAACTATGTCTGGCGCTCTTGATAGTGCTTCGATTTGTTGCAAGAAGATACAAATTTTCGAGAAGAAGGGGTTGACTCTCGGGGTTGTGCTTCTTCTGGATCAATCTGGGCAACATAATTTCTTTAAAACCCGGGTAGAAAACGCCCTCAAGGTTGCAACCAAAAAGCCAAAACCGACTTCTGTTAAGCTCCCTTTTGGGCTTTGTGGCTGTCAAGAACAGAACGGCGGTGTAGGGGAACTTGGAGGTGTTGAAGAAGAATCCATTCAGCATAGTAATAGGCTAGGGATAGAAAATTTGAATAGTACGATCCAGCTTCACATTCCACTTCTGAGTTCTTCATTTGCTGTATCAGTAGATGAATGGCAAACTATCCAATCGGGTGGCAGTGAGATTGGAAAATGGCTATTGAATTCTGATAGTTTTGAGTTCGGTGATCAGATTGGACCAACTTCTTTCAAAGGAATTTTCCGAGGAAAAAGAGTGGGAATTGAGAAGCTAAAAGGTTGTGATAAGGGGAATTCATATGAGTTTGAGCTCCGAAAAGATTACTTGGAGCTGATGGCTTGTGGACACAAGAGCATTCTGCAATTTTATGGCGTTTGCATTGATGAGAACCATGGATTATGCGTTGTGACAAAACTGATGGAAGGCGGGTCACTCCATGAACTGATGTTGAAGAGTAAGAAGCTTCAAACCAAGCAGATACTGCGAATTGCTATAGACATAGCCGAAGGGCTGAAGTTCGTGAATGATCATGGTGTTGCTTATCGGGACCTTAACACACAAAGAATACTACTAGATAAGCATGGCAATGCATGTTTGGGGGATATCGGAATAGTCACCGCTTGTAAGAGCTTTGGTGAAGCTGTGGAGTACGAAACTGATGGCTATCGATGGCTTGCACCTGAGGTATGTGTTCTTTTTAGTCTTGTCTTTGTTCAACATTTTACTTGAAAAATTAGATTGTTAAGCATCATCATGTTTGCCATTTTCTGATCCTCTTTACCTCTAAGTCAATTGATACAGAAAACTAGGCACCTGAAAGCTTGCTCATAAATTTCTCTGCCCCATATCATAATTCTCATTGAAACAAATCGCAGGCCCTATGTGCTTCATCTCTACTGTCCCCATATGACCCACTGCATCTTGTTTTGATTTTTTTTCCTTTTGAACAAATAAGTTCCTTTGCTTTTGGTTTTGGCCATATCTGATTTACCATTTTCTATTTGTCTGGGCAGTTATTGGATCCTCACACTTGTTCTTAGTTCTATATAGTCAGCCTTTAGTTCAAATCTTGGATCTGAACACGAAGTTACTAAATTTATTTTGTGTGATGAACCTATTTTTGTATGACATGGTTGAAAGCAGATCATAGCTGGTGACCCGGAAAATACGACAGAGACTTGGATGAGCAATGCTTATAGTTTTGGGATGGTACTGTGGGAGATGGTGACAGGAGAGGCAGCTTATGCATCTTGCTCGCCCGTGCAGGCAGCGGTTGGGATTGCGGCTTGTGGCCTAAGACCGGATATCCCAAAGGAATGCCCTCAAGCCCTGGGAACTCTGATGATCAATTGCTGGAACAACTCCCCCTCCAAACGCCCCAACTTCTCTCATATCCATAACACATTGCTCCGCGCCGTTTCACGCTAAGTTTGGCGTTTATATGGTACGATCATATTGTACATTCAGATTGTAACACTAAAATCGTAATTATATTATAGTATGTAATGATCATAATGGTGATATTATGAACTGTTGGAAACATAAAGGGGAAGGGTGCGTGTAGGTTTGGTTTGATACTTGTTGTTGTGGCCCTTGAGGACCCATCTCTTTTGTCTGTTTTAGGCCGAAAGTAATGCCCTTCAATATAGAGCAAAATATTATCTCGCTCATTTTTCACCATTTGTAAAAGGCATTGTGTAGTAAACAAAAAGTCAAAAACCAACAGATTTGAAAGTAAAAAACACTTGACAGGGACTTTTAGATTCCTATTTGATAAATAACAACAACTTGTAATGAAAGAGACCTAATTAAGCACTGATAATACAATCACAAATACAATATTAGTACCTTGATAACTAACAAAATAACAAATTCAAAACCCCAAATATTAAAAGAAGGATTGGAGAGGGGTAACAAATTGCAAAACCACAGTTCCATAAGTCTACGCTTTATACGAGTTGGGCTGAATGCTAGGCCCGTTACAAAGCGAATCCATAGACCCACAAATACAACAAACACGTATATGTGGAAAAAAGAACATGATCCGTATATTGGTTATCGGGGGAAGAAGGAGACATTTCATCTTTAGCTTTCGTCAAAGTGGTGACACGTGATGCTTTTCAGAACCCACCACTCCACGTGCCCTTTTTGTTGTACCACCATCAATCCATAATTATTGAGTTTTTAACCAGATTATCACCTTTTATAAGTTCTGTACCTTTTGGCTCTTCCCCTATTATTTTTTTTTCCAAATAAATCAGAATTTTTTCCCCATCTTTTTGTTGAATGTGCGCATAAAGAATTTAGCCTGTTTAACAAACAATAAGCTACAATAATAGACCGAGAAAAACTTAATTTAGCTAGAGCATTTGTGGTAATAAAAAAAAAAAGTTGTCAAATACTCCTACCTTTTTGTTAGCAGTTAGCACTAAACTCGATTTGAATAAGTGCGATCTGAATAAGTTTAAACAATACTAGTATTGTTATAGCTTTGGTTGTACTTTTTCAATGTTACAGTAATCATTTTGTTCGTTGGTCCCGCCTCACGTGATTATTCCTCTTTAGTCTTTACTCCCACTTCTCTCTTTTCTTAATTTCTTCTTCTCTTATTTTATTTATTTTACACCCGTTTCACGGTGGAGCTAGTTGGTTCAGTTTGGTTCTTTCAACTTTTTCTTGTCCTGCGTTTATGGGGATCCGGATTGCAGTTTGAGAAGTGTTGTTTGGGAAAGACTCAGTAGGTTTGGGGTTGGAAGAAGAGACAGATGGTGCATGGTTGGAGATTTTAATGCTTATCTTCATAATGGGGAAAAGAATGGTGGTCCCAGAAGATATGGAAGCTTCTTCAAACCTTTTTCTGAGATGTTGGACTCTTGTGACATGGTTGAATTAGTTAGCAGTGGTAATAGATTTACATGGGCTGGTCGAAGAGGTGATCATTGGGTTCAATGCAGATTGGACAGAGCTTTTGGAAACAAAGATTGGTTGAATCATTTTCCGGCATCCAATCAAGCCTTCTTAGACATGAGAGGATCAGATCACAGACCGGTGCTTATTTGTTTGTTGGCTTCTCAAGATTCTTACAAATGCCAGTTTAGGTTTGACAGGAGATTTCTTCACAAACCTGAGGTGAAGACAGCGATTGCGAAAGCTTGGAAGGCTGGGATTTGTTCTCGTGGATTTTTGGTATCCAACAGATTAAGAGCTTGCAGAAAAGCGTTGAGCTCCTGGAAGAAATGTAATAATATGAATTCTCAGTTGAAAATTCATCTTTGTGAGGAAGCTTTGGAAAAAGCTCAGTCTGAAATGTGGCCTAATCTGCTTCAAGTGCATGTGTTGAAGAGAGAATTAGCTAAAGCTTACAGAAGTGAAGAAGCTTACTGGCGCCAAAAAAGCAGGCAAAAATGGCTAAGAGCTGGGAATAGGAATTCAAAATTCTTTCATGGATCAGTTAAAGGTAACAGGGCCAGAAAAAGGATTGCGAAATTAAAAGATTCTCAAGGAATTTTGCAGCATTCTGAGGCTGCCAAAGGTGAAGTAGCATCTGTCTACTTTAATTCTCTATTTAAATCTTCCAATCCTCAGAGTTTCTTGGACTGGTTTGAAGGATTTCCTGCTATGGTCACGACTGATATGAATGAAGTATTAATTGCTGCGGTTTCACCTAAAGAGATCAGAGATGCAGTTTTTTCCATTAAGGCATCAAGTGCTCCAGGCCCTGATGGGATGACGGCGTTGTTCTTTCAGCAATTCTGGGATATTGTTGGTCTTCAGATGATTAAAGAGATTCAGAATTTTTTTGAATTTGGTATTTTCCCTGCAGAATGGAACTACACCTACTTGTGTCTCTTGCCAAAAGTTCAGTATCCCTTGGAGATGTCTGATTTAAGGCCTATTAGTTTGTGTTCTGTCTTGTACAAAGCTATATCCAAGATTTTGGTTAATCGGCTACAATCATTTCTACCTCAGATAGTCTCAATAAATCAGTCTGCTTTTGTTTCTGAAAAATTGATTACTGATAATATTCTGGTAGCGCATGAAGTGGTGCATAGTCTTAATACTCATCCAGAGATTTCTTCCCTCTACATGGCTGTGAAGACTGATATGTCAAAAGCATACGACAGGGTTGAGTGGAGTTATCTTAGAGCTCTGTTGGTGGCAATGGGGTTTCATTTTAAGTGGATTGAATGGGTGATGTGTTGTGTCTCCACTGTCACTTTTTCAGTGCTTATCAACGATCAACCTTTTGGAATGATCAATCCTGAACGAGGCATAAGACAAGGAGATCCCTTAAGCCCTTTTCTTTTTGTCTTATGTACTGAAGGATTAACACATCTACTTAATAAAGGGCAGCGGGAAGGAAAGCTACAGGGGATTAAATTCAATGAGGAAGGCCCGGAGATTCACCATTTATTGTTTGCGGATGACAGTCTCTTCATGTGTAAAGCTTCAGAAGATCAGTGTTTGTTTCTGAAGGAGACTCTTAACAAATATGGGGCGGCTACAGGGCAATTCATCAACTTAAATAAGTCCTCCATCACCTTTGGTTCTAAGGTCAATCTTGGCCTTAAAATGAGTATTCAAGCTAGTTTGGGTATCATCAAGGAAGGTGGAGCAGGGACTTATTTAGGTATGCCGGAGTGTTTCAGTGGATCAAAGGTTGAACTCCTTAGCTTTATCAAAGACAGATTAAGAGCCAAGCTTTCTGGGTGGTATGCTAGGTTTCTATCTCAAGGAGGAAAGGAAGTTCTTTTAAAATCAGTGGCTCTAGCGATGCCGGTCTTCATCATGTCTTACTTTAAGCTACCTAAGACTACTTGTGCTACTCTATCTAGTGCTATGGCAGATTTCTGGTGGAGTAATTCTGAGCATGGGAACTAGATTCACTGGCAAAGCTGGGAAAAACTGTGTCTTCCTAAGGATCTTGGTGGGCTGGGTTTTAGGGACATCCAGATTTTTTAATCAGCTCTACTAGCTAAGC